GGGACAACAATTTAATGAGTGGTATGTGTACTCTGTTTTCAGTATTCATAAGGCCTTTACCTTTACCTTAATATTTAACTCCTTTCCTGAAATATGCTGCTAATACCATGCTCACCTTTTTAGGTGCTAGATCAACTTCATTTCTCTGAGCAACTTGTGATAGTGAACAGATATTTTTTCTCCAGTGGTGCACTGCATATTGTCATCCAGAGCTGTAGCGACATTCTGTAGTGAGATTGATGCCTAGTGTCCTCCTGGCTTTCTTATCTTCTTCCATGATCTCATTTTCTCTAGTCAAGTCAAGTGCTGGTCAATGGACACCACGGAAATGAACCTGCCCTGTTGTGCCTTCAACTGCCATCCTATCCACTCCTAAACTGTCCTCATGTTTTTAACTTCTGACACTTGTCTCCCTAGTGCCAGTTGTATATAATGCTAGTCAGCCGAAACAACCAGCAGATATAACAGTGAATTTCCCTCAAGTGTTTTTGAGTCTCCCTCAAGCCATCCACCTGACTCTTGTGAAGCTGGTCAAGATTCAAAAGGTCTTCTTCACCTAGTGTAGCAGTTTAAGTTGTGTATACAAGGTGTGTAAAGAGCATCCTCACTTTTCTGTTCAGGCCTTCTAGGCTTCTCTTAGGCCACTTGAGTTTTGCATGCGTCTTGAGACATGAGATTATAAGCAGCATAGGTATAACTGATCTGTTTATTGTTGCAAGTTTTTAAGGAATTTAGTTCAGCCTTTAAAACACATTCCAGGCAATTAAAAAAAAAAAGTCTTAGCAGTCATTCTTTTGTTTCTTCATGGATTCCATCATTAGAAGTTGATTCAGTCCAAAATATTTGTCCGTGTGCTCTGTGTCACGTTGTGTTGTTTTGTTTTGTTTCCATTTCATTTACAAGCTTCAGATTGATTTGCCTAACCACATTCCCATGTTAGATAAGTGTTATGATGCATTTGTCCTAACCAAAGTTTCCACCCGCTTGATTTCCTTCAAGAACCTCTTGGTATATTCATGCCACCATGTGATGTGCACATTTCAGGTACATTTGCCAGTAACTGAATCTGATCCAGTCCCAAGTTTTGCAGGCTTGCTACAATTTCAGCAACATCCTTCTTGGTGATAGTTGACTCCTCCACAACAGGAAGATTTATCAGTTTTTACTTCTTTCATAGACCAGTAGGCTATCTTGTCTTGGTGGACTGTCTTTCACCAAAGGCCACTCCAGGAGGTGTGGAAGGCTCATGAGGCTTTCAGGAGATGACAACACATGGTGGAAAAAAAACTTTTTAGGTACTTTTTCATTATAGTGGCAATTTTTCATCCTTTGTTAAGCTACCTCTCCATAATGGCAGATGGAGAAAACCCAGGCTGCAGTTTATTATCACATTGGCCGAACTATTTTACTTGTCAGAGTCACTCATTCAAATCTTCATTTTTGTTATTACAATCATAACTAGTTTTCTGAGTCTTCTATAGCCTGTGTCAATTCTGTTGGAAGTATGAGGTGAGGATACCTATTTTCTTTCAGTTTGTAATCTTCTTTTTGAGTCTTGCTTTCCATCCAAGGTCCATTGATTCAACTTGTCTTCCATCTCCTCAGTAACTTACTGTTGCTAGCCTACACAATATATATATATTGCAAGAGCAGCATGGTACACAAGAAGAAATGTACCCT